ATACCTTCCAATCACATGAAAATTGCCCAATTTAAGCTTGAAAACGTCTTAGTTAGTACTCGTTGATCTGCGCAACAGTCAAAGTCGCCATCTTTGTTTATATGAGACCAATATATCTCGCACATGCGCAGCGCGACGACTACCGCGCTTTAATTTCAGTGATGAGATGCAAATTTAGGGTCAATGGACAAATATGCTATTTCCTGTTTAGACGAAATGCAAAATGGTGGTCAAAAGACGTGATTAATGATGACAAGTTTTCTAAACATGAATGCTGTTCATACATAGATGCTAAAATCGGAATTTTCTGATTAATTTGTGCAGTGCATGGTTTGAAGAAATGACTTTTCAAGCTTTTTTTGTTGTTGGGGGGTGTCATGGTGGCCAAGATCACGTGACCGCTAAAAATTTGATGTAGTATATATGAGATGCAAAAAAAAAATCGGCCTCCCTCAGCCGAGAGAAAGGCTAAATCCAAGATGGCGGTTAAAGTTTTCGACTAATAAGAATGCTGTAAGCAGATTTTTGTTCCTCGCGCTAGCTCACGTCCTCAGCTAGTTTGAACCAAAACTCACTCATCAAAATTTCAAAACAAAATATCGATAAACCAAGATGCCGATCGCCATTTTTAAAGTTACTTGCACTAGTTCCCAGCGGACCGCATACACATAAAGGTTTAGTCGCTCCAGCCATTTTCAACGACTTGACGAAAAAAGTCATGGAAAAAAGAAGATTATGGATTATGAGACATACCGTTAAACAACAACTGATTATCTACATTTGTTCATACTAAGACAGTCTGAGACATGACAGGGACAAATATCATCTATATAGAAATCCACTGAAATTATGCTTTAGTTGTAAACAAACTGACTGCTTCACGGGACTACTTACAACTAGCAAAATTGAATAATTTCTCTGTTAAAGGGCGGCAGTCGTCGTGCCGCGTCCTGTTTGATATGGGACTCATAGCGACGTATACAACGCGTGTAAAATACATTGTTTATTTACATGAAATTCGAACACGCGCTGCGCGACGACCACCGCGCTTTAATAATGTATTTAGCTTTGAGATCGTTTATTTTGGTAGCCTGGAGAGAACGCCGAATAGAGTGCGTGCACACAAAGTAAACTCACCGATGACAGTCGCGTACCTTTCTTCTGGTCATCTGAGCACTCTCATCAACATCGATTCCACGTTTATAAATGTAACACCGATGTAGTATTAGTGTCAAATATCGCGTGTTTTCACCATAAGGTATAACAGCACACAAAATATGTATTTAATTTTGTCATGTATTAGTTTCTAAAAATATTCCCATTAATATGGTAAGTATATGCGTTTTTGCTTGTGTTTCGTTTTTTTTCCTTCTAAATATAGTACCTGACGTATGCAGTATCGATAATATCCACATATAACAATGTTCTAGTCAGTTGTATTTTAAAATTAGTGAAGAGCATATACTTAATTTTAGTAATTATTTTTCCGTTATACAATTGTTACTAATATCAGTTTTTGGGGGGGAGGGGGGGGGTAACGACATTCGTGAGATATGTATAAATATGTCATTTTCGATTATTAAAAACAGACAACATTGGTCAGAAATTATGAAAACAACGGGTGTTAAATCTGGACACTCTGTTCATGCAGAAACTACTTCATACGTGATAATCATTTAACGAATTGATAATGATAAAATAATTTCTTCGATTCATATCTTGCGACAGAAAACGGCTCATCGATCCATAAGATGATTCCGGTAAATTCCTACATTCTTTTCAGCCTCTTCTCATAAGATAGTTTATTTATTAACTCTACACAGTATGCATTATTTTTCGCTGATGTAACAATTATACTCGTCCGCATTGGTTAAATGAGCGAAAAATATATCGCTGATCGCAGGAAAAAACGTAGGAATCATCACGGGCAACCCACCAGCCCGATGGCCAAAATGGCATAACGACCAGAAGGGCATAAAACAAGGGAAAGCGGAGTCTCGGACGACAGTGGCAAAATTGTGAACACATACCAGATGTGTGTCCAAACAATATAAAAAAAAATAGTATAAACATTTTTTAATCGAAAAATAAATTTCACTGTCTGGGCATTGCTGCAACAAATTATTGTTAATATTCAAGTATTCTGCCACAGTAACACGCTCGAGAGCTGAATTTCAGTGTTGAAACGCTCTATTCCAGTAAGTACAGATATATCTGATTTGATTGATATGTTTTTCCATGCTCGATGAAATTTATTAGTACATTTATTCCTTAATTTGATCTTTGTGTCAAATATCTGGATTGTTTTGGGGCTGTAATTAGCAAATCCCAAATTAACTGCTGGTGCAGTATGTGATTTTTATGAATTCACAAATATATTATTCCCACCGTAGTTATTCTTGAAGAATGCTCTACCAACCTACTGACTGCGCCTCACCTGCACAATTTGGACTCAGTTGAAAAAAAACCTCCGTCTACCTCCACTTTTAATATCCAAAGTTAGCGTATTTCTTTATACCAATAAATGGTATTTATTTCCTTGAAATATATTTTGCAATGTTAATGAACTTGAATTACGAGAGTCCAAAAGTTGTCAATATATCGATCCTTCCAATTATTAAAGGCGATTTGAATTTGTCAACATTATAGGCCATATACACCGAGAAGTAAATCTCCAGACCACTTTTCCAATTTTGACTCGGACTATTTACCATAACCCAAAAATAGAGCAGTGGCGGATCTAGGGGGGTTCTTGGGGTCCACCCCCCAAATTATTAATTAGTCTGGCGATTTTAAAGTTTGGACACCCCCTATAAAAAATCCTGTATCCGCTCTGCAGAACGTTTTACCACAATTCGAATGACAACCTGGACAGGAATCGCATTTTGTTAATTGAAGAAGCCTTCTCGCAGCACAAAACGAATCCTATCATCTGCGTACGTCGGTTGGAAGCAAAACGAAGGCTTTGAGAATCGGGAGGTTCTCAATGTCTCTCTATGCTTTACGGAAACCGACGGAAGTATGCCATTGAGTTCTACTTTATAATGAATGTCACAGAATAGACCACACAATGGCTCTTACACGCAGTCATTTTGTTGCACAGTACCCACACAATATAGTGTCTCCATAAGCTAAGATTAGATTGTAGCCATTGCGTTGATCTACACCCCGTTACACGAAAGCTTGAATGTTTTTTAATGGAAATTTATAAAACATTTACTTAAGAAGACCCTCACGCTTAACTCAAATTCAAAAAAGACACTTTCTGATCATTGGACATAGACGCAATTTAAGTTTCCAATTATTGGACGATTTACTGACATACACACAAACGTCCTGTGAAATGTATTGAACATTTATAAATAGCATCCATTCCTCCATGAAACGGAACGTACTTCAAATCAACATTCCAATTGTTCGTAAACACGAATATTTTTATTCACTGTGTTAATATCAGAGATGAACATATACAATATAGTTTGAAATTATGATGTAAACAGGAAAATGATTTTTATTTTTAATTATTTAAAAAAAAAAAAGGGTGGCTAAAGCATGTAATTAATATCCAACTTGGGAACTGATTACGGTGTAATCAATGCTATCCAAAACTACGGACAGATCTCAGAGAAGATGCCAACCTACACTAGATTTCTTGCGTATTCATACATTCACATTCAACAACACACATGGCCACACTGGCAGTTTAGGCCGTTTACACATGTATACTGTAACCTTGGTCTTGCGGAACTACGGTAACTACGTGTGCCAATTTCAATGACACTGGACTTTTCCCTCATGTAGTTGCGTTATATACAGTAGTACACAAATACGTGATGTGAAAATGACCTTCGAACTTTTGTGCCTAAAATGTTGCCACGTCTTGATGGTGACATGGAAAGCATTTATGTCAGTCTTCAAGAGGGTTAGGTGAGTGGTGAGCAAAATTTAGCGAGTCGGCAAACCAGATAATCCTCTTGTCGTAAATGGAGAGCAAACATTTTATTTTATTGCTTTAGATTATACATTTGTGAATATTAATGAGTTCACATGACCAATTCATGCAAATTATGCAGGTATGTGGATTATGCAAGTTTCATTAACATTTGATGGGTGGTACTGGAGATATCTGTGGAACATTTGCAAATTAGATAATTTATGGTAATTAAGTAATTAGTATGTACAAATTCAATCCTAAAATCATCGGTGAACAGCACATTAGGGGATCGTGCCAAATAAATATTTGACAAGTCAAACTGAAACGAAAGGTTTCGATTGGCCGATCGACTAACATTGGAACTTTTCAAAAATAGGCTTCGTTGCGCGCTCTGCCTGTTGATTGGTTAGATTCAGCTTTCATTAGCATTTATAAATATTTATGCAAATGAAGTGATTTTGTTTGTTGCGCTGATAATAAATAGTAAATAGTAACTGACTAATCTACCCACCCGCTTTTTAATTTAAAGTGTGGGACCACGCCATGTGAACACGTGCATACCAATAAGCTGTACTCAATTGACTGACCAAATGGGCGTATTTGCTTAAAATTAAACTATGGCCGGGTAGATACAGGTGTTTGGGTATTCACGGGAGTGTTCTATTCACGCCGAGTCGTATCCATTGAGCCGTGAAAAAAAATTACAGTATCTTATAAACAAATTGTAGTAGTGGGAGCTTAACTCGCTTAGCACTTGCAATGTAGAGATACTGGATGAATCGACCCCCAAAATCACACACGAGGTTCAGCTTTATTACTAAGCTTTTTAAAGTTTTTTGTTTATACACACGACTGAGAGATAAATATATTCTGGTCAATTTTCAACAAACATAATAAATATTTCACGTGTTATTTTCCTTTGTGTCGCTGATTACAGACTAACACTAACTATAATTATCGAGACGTGCCATTGCATTTGATTGGTTATCACGTGCAGTATTTTTTGAAACCCCGACTTTTGTATTGCGCGTGACATACGATTAAACTGAATGTTATTTGGTTTCGTTTCGTTACTTCGAATACAATAGCCCCCTCAACCACTACAAGTTCAAGAGAGCACTAACACGCATACCTAGTACCTTTTTGAAGTTCATAAATAAAACTAAATCGTTAAACCAAACGATTTTCAGTTCCCTGTATACCACTCCTTTCACGAGCAATCCGTGTGATCAATTGGTAATAGATTTGACCGACATGTCGACATTTAGCGAACTCATTGAGCGCTGTGATACTAGTATTTTGGTCTAAACAAAAAGGACCGAATCACGCAGCAGCCGGATCACAGAAGTGTCAAATAGATCTAATGAACCGGCTTTTTTCAAATCGTTTGACATTTTTTTACAAATTTTATTGGCCTAAACATATAGTTTTACCCATAAATAAAAAAAATAACTCGATCTGGATTCCACTTAACCCGATAAAAATAGAGTAAGAATAAAACCTTTTCTAATTCACCGGATCTAATTTTTAGAAATGACCGGTGGACGGGTGAATGTTGATAAATAGAACAGCCGTACACACCACTATTAGTAGCTTCATGATGCATCTGTTCGGCCTTGTTTTAGCTCTGTCAGGTCGACGTGCATCGGCAACACGTTTTCCGCTCTTAATCCGCGCTATTTGTACAACCCCAGTCATGGACCAGTCCAAAACGGTAAGCTCGATAGAAAATTCTCGTAATTTGCGCGTTTTTTCTTTTCTTTTCTTTTTCTTTTCGGGTATGCGACATTTGTTGAACAACGTGTCGCGGCCTGTTTTATTGACTATATGCCACATAGATATAGAAAGTCATGTACGTAGTTCACCGCGGACGTACATTTCATTGTGTCTATAGCGGGGGCACTTGGCTAGACGAGTTTTCTGAAAAAATTCAAAATAACCCTTTTCGATTTTCAAATGAAAAAATAACACTTTTTAAAAAAAAAAGAATGCGGACTTCTTTGGGGGAGGGGAACAAAACTCCTTATTTTAGAGAAATGCCAGGAAGAGGACAATAGTAGTAGATAATGTTTTGGTAATCCCAAGTTGTGTTCGAACGTCACGTTTTTAAGTTTTCGTGAACATGCGGACTTCGAAAAAATATACCTTTTTCCACGAAATTCATAATGCACATGCGTGCGTAGCCCTCTGTCAAATGAAAGTGCCCCTAATATTCACATTCAACTACAGTTCAATGTACGACAAGCAATGGTACGACAAATACGAAAGTTTAAATACACAATTTCACGAAATAATTTATTTAAATACTTTCAACTTAAAGTTGTTCCTACTATTAATTAATAATATTTTTGATGGTTTCCACCGAATCGCCCGATGTAGTTTTAGTTTTGTTGAAAACAAGCTCGTATAAACGACAGTGTGGAGCATCAAACATACCAAACAACAAAGCGCTTCGACAAAGGAGTTTTTACATGGCAGTAAAACGATTTATTTATATAAAACAGTCATGATCCACAACTCAGTCAAACGAGGTCATTACATTTGTGCGTCATCACAGAGGTTGAAACGTCGGCATTTTGTTTAGTTTTTTTTTTCTGTACATGCATGTGCTTCAAAAATACCAATGCCTTATTTATCGGAGCCGAGATCAGTTTGAATGGTAATGCTAATGATTACCGAATCTTTTATTGGCGAACATGTGCTATACTAGTTTATTTGGCCTTATTTTACTAGGCCATGTTTTACAATTCGAGAACGTTGAAGAAACAAACCTGTTGATGCGTACTATTGGTTTTCGAATGGTTGGCTGCAATGATGCAAATTTTACTCCACGTGTAATAGAGAGGCCAGTGTGTTAATTCATATGTAAATTGAGTTCTATGAGAATGTATGCTTTTGACCTATATTGAAGTAGCTAAACTTGTGATGACCTTTTTAAGAGTAAAATTATATGTACTATATAATGGCGGAGGCGTGGTTTAATATTTCACTCACTGGAGTCAGTACAGCTTGCTAGAAGCTCCGGCAAACTGCGAAAAATGCATGCACAAATTGTTGTATTTCAAGAAACTAGGCGTGCGCCCATTTGTGAAACCACATGCCACGTAAACAATAAATGAAGCAGCGCTGCTTATTTGGTGTCGTGGCCATTTGTGCACGCCACGTTCACTGGGGGGCGCTATACGGCGTAAAATGTAAGAGTATACACCCTGACATATTTTATGCGAGGTCACAAGATGTTAAACAATGGCGGATCTCGTAACAGAAGGAAATCGTATCTCGCAACTTGCAACAATTACTTTCTTTGCTAATATCATTATTGTGCTTCCTTGCAACAAAGTCCCCCGTCCCTGTTCACCCACAGTCGCGTGTTTCTCGGGGTCGTGTTAGCATCAGCTGAGAAATAGGCTAGATAGTGAAATTGGTATATATGTATGTACAAGTGTATAAGCAAAAAACGTGACGTGTATAATGCCAAAACAGGTAGCAAAAATGAGTGATATATTTGAAATAAAATTTATCATTAATAATCATTATCAAAACAGTATATAACATAACCTGGTAATGAACTATTTGTAACTGTTAAATGTCAATATCACCACCACAATTTCAAAATCACAAGTGCTATTTAATAACATCACCACTGCCATGACTGACAACACTGTCATGGACGGGTATCATCACCTTGTACTAAAATATGTTTGGATATTTAGAGTAGTAAAACATTTTCACTTCCGGTCCAGTTATACTATGAATATTTACTTTTGTCCTGTGCTTAGTTTAGTAATTCGAACTTCCCAGATTACGTAAAAACGGGTAGTTTCACGATTTCGACACCGTAAATACCTTGGCTTAATTATTTGCCGAGGGACGGCCGCTTAGGTATGCGTGTGTGCGCTCTGTAACTTGCAGTACATAGACCCAAATGCGCTGAGCAATCCAAAAATTACCTTGTGCAAGGACAAACAATGGCTAATTTACGTTTTGTACTATGACTTGAAACAGTTTCGCGTTCGCGTGTTCATTTGCCTTAAATAGCGTTTTAGGGTTCATTACTGCCGTCCCTAGAATCTTACCGATATCAATTTAGTTGCAATTTCCATAGCCATCGCCAATAATTCACAAAAAAAAACTTGTGATGAAATATTAATTATCATAAAATTGTTTTCACCTTTGTCGTCATTTTTAATTATCCTTGCCTTTTCCCGCACGAGAGTGAATAAAACTGGGACACCAATACTTACAGTTTGTTACTAAAGCAGTATAACAAGAATGCATGATTGCAAAGCCCATTCTATGAATATGACTCTGTATGGAGAGTGACTATTTACTAAAAATATAAACTGACGTAACCATAAAACGCCGGAGCGGGAAAACACTGGTGGCGCGCTCACTTCCGTTCAACTCGTTCTGTTCTGAAAACTATTTCTTTATCATTTGACATTGGAAGATGTTCTATCATGAATGAGGTGATCTGCTAAGTTTCATTTGGTTGACATTTGACAAATTGGTGGCCACTTTTGACCCAAAACCAATTTGTTTCTAAGTCTTGCCTTGATTGATTTTGTTCAAACATTCTCAGGGTAGATTACTGATGCAGGTCAGCGTGTTTTGTGATTGTTGATTTGTTTCGCTGACCTTTAAAAAGCTTTTAATAAACGCACAAGGACACATTCAGTCTATGTTTGATAATATTAATGTCTCAACAGTAGAGAACTTAAAGACCGTCCTGCTAGTAAAATTTGACCATGCGATGTGCCACAAGTAATTGTCGGAGTGGTCTATATTTTTATAATCAACTTGGACATAACATTGATATGTTAAACAAATAAGACTACACCCTTTAGAATGACGGCTAATCAAAACGGATGAAAAAAAAATGATAAATAAATCAAAACTTTGTACAGGTTGTAAACATTTCGATTAGAATTCAAATCAGTCCTGTGTTACTCCAGAACAACATGCAGTATTAAATGGGTACGAGTTTTTCGCCATAACCTAATTTGTTCAAGGTTGAATTAATTTAACCTACTGCATACTAGCAGTATTGTGTGTGTATATATTTCAGCATGAAAAGTATTGCTGTTCCCAAGTTTTCGAAACGCGAACACAGCCAGAAATGCGTGTTTAGTTAATTTCAATAACCAGATCAGCCAACTGGAATGCAGTACAGTAGTTTTTTTGGAAGGGGGGGGGGGGTGCTGCAAGATCATTCTTTGAAGGTGCTCAACTTAAACAACAAGTTTCAGGCTTTAGAGACAAAATCAGACGTTCACTTCCTGTGTACAATGACGTTTTGACAGTTGGCATAATTGAATAAACATTTGAATTAAATACGCATGTCTTAATTTTAAGTTAAGTTTGTTTTTCATGTTTTTTTGAAAGGGTGGAAAGTCTAAAGGAATTTTGGAACGTTTGAATGCTGGTGAAATAGTGGTTGGGGATGGCGGATTTGTGTTTGCACTTGAGAAGAGAGGATATGTGAAGGCAGGACCATGGACACCAGAGGCCACGGTGGAGAACCCAGAAGCAGGTAAAGCCCAGAAATAACAATATTCAGGTTTATGGTGAATATGTGTGAATGGGATTTGCCATTTGCTTAGGCATGCCACTATAGCAATTAATCTATAAATCATCTGAAAACGTAGATAAGCAATTATTGTAGTGCGTATGCCATACCAATGTAGTTTTCATAAAGATGTTTTTTTACACAATAGTTTTTTTAGTGCAATGTGTGCACTAAATCTACAAAATTATTGCCTCAAAATGAACAAATCTGGTAGTTCAAGCAATTTGGCTTAAAATACAGGTTATGACATTGTCACAGGGTCATTTCTCAGGAACTTAACTTTAATTGTTGGAATGTGAAAATGTGAAAAAAATAGTTCAGGCCACAGTTAAAAATATTTTTGAACAATTAATCAGATTTTCACTTGAGAACAATGTGAATGGGTATATTCAATTAGGGAAATATTAGGTATACATTTCAATATCCTGTCAGGATCAGTATATTTGTTGTAAGATATTACGAGACGAGACAATTACCCATGCTCATTTTATTTATCCTTTAGTTCGTCAGTTACATCGGGAATTTCTCCGTGCTGGTGCTGACGTTATGCAAACATTTACTTTCTATGCTAGTGATGATAAGTTGCAGAACAGGGGAAATATTGACCCTAAGAAGATGACTGTAAGTATAAATATTATATTTGAATCTTCATTATGAACATTTGTATTAACTGCTAATGCATATTCTTATGAAAATCTTGCAATATTAATCCAGTATATGCACAGATAGACCAATAAAGTTAAACTTAATATGCATAATATATAATGTAAAGAAAACGCCAGAGTTTTCATTCATGAAAATATTCGCAGTGTGGATTGATATTCCTGTGCTTGATGCACAACTAGATGTACAAGCGTTATGGTATTGTGTAGAATTGTATAGAAGAGATTCGGGTGGATAGAAATAACTACGGCTTGAGGAAGTAACGGGGTTTATTATACTAACATAAAACAGCATCTGACAAGTACAAGGACAATTTCTCAATTTATGGGGGAATGGTACATTCTTGAATTTAGGCGGGAAGAGGATATATTACATGTTTGTAATAGGTCAATAAGGAGGGGGATCTGATTGGCTAAAATATATACGTTGTGATAGGCTGAATCTTTCGTAGGTAGAATCCAAAAGTTGCATTAAGCTAGAGTGCTTATGATTCTAGATATATATTAGGTCACTACTCACAACTATTTTGCACCTGACACTTAATCACTTGAATACCGTTATAGTATTCTGGTCTAAATGTATTTCCGTAACAGACAGCTACTTGTAAGTACTGTGTTCGATGTCGTTGTTAGAGACAGGTCGGAGTCAGTGCATTCTTTTTTGCACATCCACGCCGTTTTACTATACAGTATTCATGGCCACATTCTTAGTGGGCATAATGACGAAATGTCATATTGGTTCCATGATTAGGTCAAACTTGAAAGTTATTGCCCCACGCTTGCTCATCAGGTTTCTAATATGTGAAAAAAACCTGATGTTTATATATTTTCACAGGGTTACAATGTAAACAATGAAGCCTGTCTAATAGCCAGGGAGGTGGCAAACGAAGGTGGTGCTTTGGTGGCTGGAGGCGTGTCACAAACGCCAACATATCTCAGTGGTAAAGGCAAAGAATTTACCCAGAAGGAGTTTCAGAAACAAATGAGCGTGTTCATGGAGAATAAAGTAGATTTCCTTATAGCAGAGGTAAGGTTTTACAATTAAATTACACCTCTACGAAAATTAAAGTTCTGGCCATGGTGTTAC